TGAACGCTCTAAGACCTCTTTTTATAAAAAAATTTGGAAAACACACAAAATAGAAAAATCTATAATTACATCATATTGTTCATAAAAAAAAACTTAATTTGCTTCGAAAATATGAAATTTGGAAATAACAATCGACATGTTTCAAGTGCTCAAATACTGACACCCATTTTCAGGACTTGTTGGACGTGAATGAGAAAAAACAAAAATGATTTGAAATATAAAACGCATTCACATTGAATGTTTAAAATATAAAAAAGTTTTTACCTTGGTTTGCCCTTCTCGGTCACTGTGGTTTTTCTTGTTTTGTTTTTCCCCTTTTTTCTCTGTCCCGCAGTGGACTGATCGTAAAGACAAGGTTCCCCATAGAACATAGAAGTCAGACATCACTGTCTGGGGTCAATAAGTGGATGAGTGGCCACTTTGATCAGCCTGCTTAGGGACCGAAGGTGCACTGTATCGATCCTCGTTAAACTGTTCTACCGTAAAGTGGTTGACTTCATGCGCAAGTCGTTAATCTATCAAAACGGAGGAGCCATCCTCTCTGCAGACGATCAAAATTGTAAATGGCATGTCTTCGGATGATCATTAGGTTTCCCAGACCGTCGCCAATTGCCCATTGTGCATCTCTAGTGCGACGTAAATAAAATACCTACCTAAGTCATCATTTTTCTCTCTCGGCTACTGTGGTTTTTCTAGTTTTGTTTCTCCCCTTTTTTTTCTGTTTTTCGATACGAACTTCACGTTTTATATTTCAAATCACTTTTACTTCTTCTAATTGACGTCTGGACGGCCTTGAAAATGAGAGCTGTTTTTGAGCGCTTGAAACAAAGTTGACTGTTATTTCCAAATTGTATATTTTTTAAGCGAATGAAGTTTTGAATCAAGTAATATCTCACAGCTTCAGTTTCTAGGGATTAAATATTTAATTACTTTATCTATTGTTTTATTTTAGCTATTATTTAAAATTTAAAAGTATGCAAGGTAGTAATATTTTTAATTTTAAAATTTAGAAATTAATCCCTTTCATAACTTTACGCCCTGAAACACTTTGGTAAATTACCAAACGTATTTTCTTAGTAAAAAAAATTAAAATGACCTTTTATTTGCTTTTAAATTTTAGGAATGAATTTTGCAATTTTATAGTTATTTACGTGTTTAATTTTATTGAATCATGATAACATTTTATCAATACTACTTTAGATTCACCTCATTTATTGAATCTCGCATTCGCTTAGGGCACAGGGAAAATAAATAAAATGAACAAAATTTCAATTAATATTTGAAAGTGCACTCCACGTTCGAGATACAAAGTATTTATTAGTCTATTAAATCATCTTTCAGAAAAACATAGAGCTTAATTGAAAATGAATGACCATAAATTTAACTTAAAAAAAGCATTTTATAAAATAGAATAAGACTAAAAATATGATAAAGTTGAAAAAGTTGTGATACTAATTTTTAACAAACGTTCGAATTTTAACAATAAATTATATTTTTATATGATTAGTAACTTCACATTTATCTACTTAAATGGAATGTATTAAATTTATTCACAATTATATTACAAAATTGCGTAAGTGCTTAAAATCAGATTCTCTAAATCAAATTTGGTTTAAATAAGAATCAGATAGCATGAGTAACCGATTAAGCATTTTGAATTTGAACCAGTTTGCGTAAGCAATTTTCCCATTGAGTACGCAGTACGCAATTTTCTCATTGAATAGCACACACACATAAGAATGTAAACAAATTTTTTGGCAGAAAAAATAACAGGTGACACGACGCCTTTCGTTTTCCTGTCAGTTCCATAATATTTAAATTCGAATTAGATTTTCTTGGCTATTAATCCTTTTTTTCCTACGCTAGTTCTTAGCGTTAATAAGTAGCAAAATTAATTATTTTTATTTTTTACTTTTAATTATCTTTACCAAGTAATTTGTATCAATCAAGTAGTAATGAAAATATTATAAAGCAAATAAAATACTTAAAACCCAATATGAACTGTAATTAAAATCCATTATAGCGTAATTAATAAAATAATTAAGCAAAAAATTTTTTTCTCAAAAGTTCTTTTAATCGCATTATTTTTACAAAAGTAACTCATTGCACAATTTTCAATAAAAATTTTACTTCAGAAAGGGAATAAAATTAAAATTACCTTGTTTCAGAACTTTAAGGTACGATGAGGAAGCTCTATTAACATTACCATAGAAGATTTTGACTGTTTCTAAAAAAAGTTTTTAAATTCATACTGACAAGCTACACACTCACCAACCTTAGATCACCATATATAAAACATTATTGTTAAACTGAACAACAAGACATAGTGATTTCAAAACTTAAAACACGTTCATTTCCTTCTTAGTCATGCATCCCTAAATCACAAAATTCTTATCACGACATAAGTTTAAGTGAAAAGTTATGCCACTGTGGATACGTTATAACCTTTCACGATAACTTTATTACTAACCCAACATTTCATGAGTTTATAAACAAATATAAAGCAAAACAAGAAACAAGTATTAATATAACATTTGGCCCCTGAAATGTGGAAGATAAATTCTTTGCGAAAAATAAAAGAAGTCATATAAATGACACTTTCAATAAGTAATGAGAAATAAAATTGACATTAACAGATATATTTAAAAATTGTGCAAAATATGTATAAATGAACTACATAAAGCATTAATAAAAGTAAATTTAAGTTTATGAAAATGCAGATGTACTGGAATGTAAGTCATAACAACATTCAATTCAAAAAATATTTGAAAGTTTTGGGGCAATATGAGAATGAGTCATATTTTCAACACATAGTGTTTTGGAGAAAAACACTACAATAGTCATGTGTTCAATTAGGCGTTTCTTCGTTTTGTGCTGCCATCTAGTGGAAATTTTGAAAAAATAAAGTGAAAATATAACTTATTCTTCCATATAGCCCCAAGCTATTCATTTTTATTTATAAAAGTAAATATACCATGCATTTGGCTTATGTAACAACAATTATAAAGTAATAAGTAAAAATATTTACACAATAGGAAAAAAATATGGCGAAATGAGAGCTTTAATCTGTTTTAAGTGGAGGAAAGGTGCGATGCGACACCCTGAAAGTTGCCAAATATACGACAACCTGATTGCAGCCAAAGTAAAATGCTGATTGCATCAAAAACAATCTAAAATATATATGAAGGTTGTGTTAAGACAGTGAGAAAAAAAACGGTAGTAGTGCGAGCCTGGATTGTGTTAAAAAAATTTCCTTTATAGAGTTTCTAAATAAATTCTTAGTTGATATGCATTCTTTTTAGCCAAATATGCGTGAATATTCTACTATTTTATTTATTAATTTTCAGAAAACAGCCATGGTTGAATTTATTTTAACTTTGTGAAGTGACATTTCTTATGCATCATAAAAGGCTGCGTCATGTTATGAATCTTTCTCCTATGCCTCTATATTCTTTTTTTTTATTAAAATCAATAAATATTAATTGATTACCGAAAGCTTGTTAGCAAAATGTTTATTATTTGGTTTCGAACTCCTCGAACTGGAACGTTTTTATTGCTACTTTCTGTTTTGTTAGCCTAAAACCGCCATACCTCCAAGTGGCATGATTTCAAATATGATCCATTACATCCACCCGGTTTTTGTTTTGTTTTTATCTGTCTCATTAAAAAAAGCAAATATTTAGTTTTCTTTAGTTGCTGTCCTTAGCGGAATAAGTAGTTAAATTATCAATTGAACTCGGAATTTAATGTTAGAAATCCCTATGAGGGTGCGGAATTAAAATCAAGCAATGACGTATAGACACGTCGAGTGCAGAGCAAATGGTCCTCTCATAAATTATACGAAAAACGAGGAAGGACTATACTTTCATTTAAAAATAACAAACAATTCATTTCTGAAAAAGTTTTAGTTACTTGAAATTAGTTAAAAATTTATCAAAAAATAAATAAATAAAACACATAAGACAAGATACGAGATTAATACGAGACGAAAGCAAAGAAGAGAGAGTTTTTGAATGGAATGTTTTGTATTCTTTTACTCAATTAGGGAATGTCTAGGACTCTACCACGCTAAACAAAGGGCTAGCATTAGCCCTGCTAAATGCTTACGCAATTTCTCCACAAATCAACGCTTGCTGTCAGAGTCGTAGCTTACGTATGTAATTGGTTTCAGAACCTGATCCCCCGTCCTCAATATCACCCCACAATCTAAAATACTTAGCTGTCCTATTAGTAATATTAAGGAAACATAATACTAAATAATATTATTATTGCACTTAAAGGAAATTTTCAAATTTTGATAACCATTAGTAATTGTTTTTCACTCGACGTGTATATACGTCAAAGATTCTGAACTGGTTAATGTCTTATGTTCTGATAATCACGGAACGTAATGGTTAACCTCGAAACTAAATACGCCTTCTAACAAACTTATATCGTTTCTTAATTTCAAGAACTCATACGAGAGTAAAAAATTCTGATATTAAGTATTGAGGCATATTACTCGAATTTTTTGATTAGTTTAAGAAAAGTACCCAACTGTGTAGGATCCGTGATATTAGAAAACATCTAATTTTAGATATTAAAAAAATGGAGAGGTAGAGAAATTGGTGACACTTAAGTTTTCACTTAGATGAAAATCATAACTGTCTTCTGCTCATTTTCATTGATTTAAAAACACGAAACATAAAAGAAATTTTAGCCCGTCTCTTATCTTTGTAGTAGACGCTATTTTCATTCAAGCTAAAAAAGAAGAAGAAGAAAAGAGCCAAAATACTAATCTAGAAGTTGTTTATCATGTTCCGTAACTAACCATGTAATGACAATTGTGATGGACTAATTTCGTCTATCTTAATTAGCAAAACTAATTAGTACGAGAACATATTGCCGCAAGGAAAATTTATTTTGATAAATATATTTTCTGCTCTCAACTCCTTTTTTTTTTTTTTAGATTTTTGAAATAATAAGAATAATGGAATATTGATAAAAACAAAATTGTAAAGAAAAGGCTTAAAGTTTGATATAAGAAAAATTGAAAAAGTTTTATCACTTTAAAAAGTGTTGCGTTGGTTAACACGTTTTCAAAAACACTTAAAATTTTCACCAATCCTATAACTTAGATCTAATATAAAGAAGGATATTTGTAGCAAGAAAGAGAAAATATTCAAACACTGTTTTGTAAAGAATATTCTAACATTGTTTTGTTGGGAAAATATTCTAAACTGTTTTGAGTAAACAAACAAATTTTACAATGAACAGATTTTTAAGTTTGGAAAATCAGACGACTGATGAAAAATGGAAGCACACAAGGAGAAAAATAATATGAAAGCCTTATTTCCATTTAAAATATTCCATTAGCCTAATTTTTCTCGTTCGTATACTTTTTTTTCAGAATGATTACTATTAAAATTTGAGATGAATTTGTGCACAGCTTCAAACTGAGTTGAAACTGTTATTTAATTCAATTATGAGCTATTCAACTAATTCTGAAACTCACTCTATTCAAGTAACAGTATCTCAAAAGTATATAAAAAGGCCTCAACAACAACTTCAAAAATAGTTCAAATGAAAAAGCATTGCACTTCAGTATCGCTGGTTTTTAGGATTGGCAACAACTCAAGTGTTTGATCATGGTTTTCATGAATCTTTTTTGGGATTCAACTGTTTCTTAGAATCTTAAGAAGTATTGCGTAATCCTTTGCCAGGAAGGCCATAAATATTGAATGTCTAGTGATCGGACTGAGTTGGAACTGATTCCCCTGAAAGGTCATGATCCAGGTTTTCGAGAATCCACTGAAGGTTCACAAATTCAAAAATTGTTTAACTGAAAAATCATTGCACTTCAGTATCGCTGGAATGTTGGATTGGCAACACCACTAGTTTTCGATCCTGGTTTTCGTGAATCTTTCCTTGGATTCAATTGTTCTTTAGAATCTGTAGAAGTGTTGCGTAATCCTTTGCCAGCAAGGCCATGAATATTAAATGTCTTAAGATCGGACTGAGTTGGGACTGACTCGACTGAAGGGTCACGAGAACTATCTAACTGCAATGCAGTAGAGTCCTCCAATGGCACAATACTGGTATCAAAAGGCTGTATGATTCCTTGATCGACGGTAGGAGTTGTGCTAGCTACTGAGCCTGCGGAAGTTGTTGAGTATATATCAGCTGCCACCGATCCCCGATAATAATCAACATACAAGGAGGTAGGGCGCGGAATTGGAGTTAGAGTATAATCTTCAGGTCGCAAACGAACGTGTGCATTTTTGACGACAGTACCAAACCTTTTTTGAGATTTGCGTAAGCAACAGCATTTAATGCAACACATTAAAAAGCAAAGAACCAGAACAAGTCCAAATGTTATACCTACAGAAATATAAGCAATTGATTCATGTTCGGCAATAGATGTAATAATAGTGGAAGATGTATTCGAAGATTTCGATTTTTCGAACTTCAAATCAATTTTCTCTAACTTCACGACTCGAAAAGTCCTGTTGAGGACATCAACCGTAATATTATGCCTGTCGTCAATATTTGGCAAAAAACGGAGAGTTGGGGTTCGTCCACCAACCGTTAAATTTATATGGAGGTGTGAAAAACATTTGGCATTCGAAACTTCGGGAACGACATCACCAAAACCAAATTTGACCATTAACTTCCCAAGCATCTTCTCGAAATCTACTTTTGACAGCCTAGTGCAATCCTCCGCCCGTAAAACCAGCATCAGCAGCTTTTTGTGCTCGCTTTCTGGTAATACATCGGTGTTTGTAGATTCGTTGTAGAGAGATGACATGGAATGAGAGGACAGACTTGTGTGAGGCAAGAAATGGCTCTGCGTTTCTAGATGAATTGGAAACGGTAAAGACGGCGAAGCGACTAGTAGAGACATTAAGGGTGTATGAAACTGTTTGTATGGCACTGATCCCGAAATAGCATGAATTTCAGTATTGGAAGATGGTGTTTCTTTCATGCCATTCACAACGGACGATAATTTTCCTTTCTGTTTTTCTATAATTGCCATCGATCTGAAAGAATTTTCTCCGAATAATGCACTTTTTGAAGAATATTCTTGAAATTTGGAAGAATAACTAGACGTGCTAATTGGAATGGGAGAAGTACTGTATCTCTCAACGGGCATGGATGAAAAGACATTTATTGAAGACATCAGTTGAGTATCTGAAAAAGACGAGGTATTGGATTGAACATTTAGATCAGGGAGCATCAAAATAGAATTGCCTTCAAGAGCACCGGTCGATCTGGAAGAAGAATTGGCAAGATTCCATTCCTCTTCGGAAGTTTCAGTGGTTGAAGGAACATCACTATTCATAGAACTTAAAAGCACCGGAGAAATAATGGCTCCTACAAAAATAAACAATATGTATTAGAAAATTAATAAATTTTTAAAATATCAAAAACATGTTTAGAACTGACTATTCATATACCAAAAAAATATTTACTGCATGGAGAATATAAAAGATTTACAAATGTATTTATTTTAAGCTTTAATAGTGTTTAATTTATTTCTAGCATTTTAAATTTTTTAAACCATGTCAATCGAATAAAAATTTAGTTCAAAATTACTTCATGAAGCACAATTTTTCATCTTCATCTTTTCAAGTAAGCATTTATACTCTAAAAACAGATTCTACTCTTAAAAAATGGCGAAACTAGATAAATTATATTTTATTGCGTGAAAGATTTTTTGAAAAAAAAGTAATATATTGTCTTGAAGCATGCCAGTTGTAACGTACGAAATATTGCTGCTGTTTCAACCAAAAATAGATTTTCTAAAGCACTTTAAATATTGTTTCATAAATTAATACTTTTACATCAAAATGCCATTTTGTTATCACACGCAATAGTGAATCGTCCTACTCACGTAGCAATCGCAATGTTGGTAGTTTTTCCCATAAATTTATAGCTTAAAATAGTTTAAACAACAAATTTCCTGACGTCTAAACATTCAACCGAAAAGTAATCATAAATTTAATATATCAATAATTTAATCATTATTTTATTTAAAAAAAAAATTTAAATGGAAAATTATTTTGAATAAGTAGGGAATATTTAATGCAAATAATATGGATATCAATAGAATTTACATTTAGTTTAAATTAATATTCTTTTCATCTTTTATAAAGCAATCTAATATTAAATAATTTTATTTTCTTGAACGAGTGTAGAGCACTGTAAGAAATTCCGGATCAAGTAATGATAAAGAGTGCTGAGACCCACGATACCTGTACTTTTTACCGTGAGATTATTTTTACCGGAACATGTGTTACGGAACAAAGCGTCTGATATACAATTATTTTAAAAGTAATAATTACAGTGAAATTACTGAATCACTCTAATTAAATGAATATTACTGTAAAAACTACGGTACAAATGAGTTTTACGGTAAATTGGAATTTATGGATGATGCACCTAAAGTGCTGGTACTTTATACCGTAATTTGATCCGGATTTTTTTGCAGTGTATTTAATCTTTTTAAAATTAACAATATTTTTTTTTTAATTGAATGCACAATAAATTATAAATATCTTTCAAAAGTTTCATTTACAAGATTTGATGCTTTTATTGAAGTAATACGCTTAGCAATTGATTGGAAAATATCATTTATTCCTAATAAAAAGAAACATCAATCCAATCTTCGTTTTTCTTTCCATACATTTATAGCAGTTACTTTTTTAGCAATAAACACCAAAAACTTTCCTATTTTAAACATTGGCGAATATTTCTTCCATTATAAAGGGAAGAATCCGGATCAATATAGTAAGGGGTGGGTAAAGAGGAAGGCTTGCAATGATGCTCATTTAAAAAATTCACGAATATCGTGCAAACATTGTAATGACTTCGAAACAAGCTTTGATTGGTGCACGATGCGAAGCAAATTCTTATTTAATCCCATCAAATATTAAAATTGTTTTTCGATATTTAATGTTCGGTAATTTACACAAATTTGTTTCGTTTAGTCACGATTTCAAGGAAGAAATGCATGGAGTGTTGGTTATGAAGTTACATTAAATGAAACATTACATAGTATCCCTTAAATAATTTCCATCTCTAAAAAAATCTAAACTTGTGAATAAAATGACTTTGGAGGCTGTGAAGTTTTCATTTCTTTACGAATTATTTATATTACATTTGTAAGGGGACGTTATTATTTTAAACGACTATAGAACGACTCATTTACATTTAAAGACGATTCATACTCAAATCATTCCTCTAAAATTATCAGTTATTAAATGAATGTTGCGCATTCGTTTTCTATTTTTTGAGACATAAAGAACGACTGTTAAATAAATGAATAAAAACGGTCTTAAAGATTTAGTTAATGAACGTGCCCGGAGAAAATAATGAACGGAAAGGGAAGCTCATTTTGAACAGTAAAGAAAAGAATATAATGAATACAAAAGTGATTCTAAAAGTAAAATTCTTTTCGGCTAGCCTAGAAAGAATTCTTAGAATAAAGATATCTGACTTCTTGCTTTAAGGGCCCATATATTACTTATGTTTCAAAAGGAAAACATTAATGAAGTTTAAAATCATTATAAAAACAGGAAATCGTATTCTTTTATCATTGAGATTAGTTTTCATTTTATTTTATTAAATTTATTTATTTAGTTGGTCATCTATTTTGCAATAAACACACATAATGATCATATTTCAAACCGGCAAAAAAGTAAAAAATTACATTAAGTAAACATTTATATTGGACAATAATTTAGAATAGTAATAAGTTCTAGAAAAAAAATAGAACCGTTCTATGTATTACATTAATAATAGCTATTGTGTCACGTCATGGCTGAGTTTCGAAAGAAAAACGTGATAATTTATTACAAATTCAAAAAAAAAAATTTTTTTTAAATTTTGTTTGCAAGATTTTACCTGATACTTTTAATATAGATTACTAAAAAAAGTATAAAATCAAAAGCTTATTAATTAACTATTGATTGTTAATAACAATTCAGAACTTAATATTTACAGTTTTTCATTTTTTATTTTCTACAAAACCTAATTAATAAAAATTTCAAAAATATCTATATAAAACTTGGGTTGTATTTTCGTTTTATTTATTACATTCTTTTTTTTAACTTACATGAAAAAAAGGGTTATTTGCCTAGAAATCTCATTCTAAGCATATAATTAACATTTTTTTCCTCGTTTTTTTATTTTTTGAGTGCTGAAATTGATAGATATATCTTTTTTCAGATCGTGACACTCTTCTTCAAAAAAGGTTGGCCACCCCTGTTTTTGAGACACATATTAAAAACATTTCACCGGTTAATGACTGGAAAAGTGTTCCAGTTACGCACGGTAATAATAATTTTATGCCAGTAAAGCTATCATGACCATAAAAACACAGGTCTGACGGTAAATGTTTCCTTGCAAAGATATGGCAACTGACTGCGAATTAACATCATACTCATAAAAATTTATCTTCAGTTCAGACTTTGACGCTGTTTTGAAACTCAGGTGACATATCTCTCGAATCAAGACGGACCATAGAACGAGGCGAAATATTATAGTGCAGCTATCTGTCGTGGAGTGAGAGAGTTGCATATTTATTGTCCGTGGTCACCAACGTGGAGGGAGTGTGTTTGAGAGAGAACTGTAACTTGGCACCGATTGAGTTCGAACCAAGAACTTCTGTGACAGCAACCTTATGGTATAACCTCCATAGAAATGGTAAGGGAGCTGAAAATTTTATATTTTAATCTTATAAGTTAACGGCTAACTCTACTAATTCGTTAAATTGACGGGGACTGGATTTTTTTTCTCTAAGAAGAATAGATTAAGGACAAGCATACAAAACGGTGTAAGTACCTTTATAAGAAACAAATTCTTACTTAGTGTGAATTTCGTTAATATCACAATTTCTGAGCAACTTTAACAAAAAAACATGCAATAAAACACAGCCTAAAAATTTTTTTTCTTGATTTAAAAATATTCGTAGAATAAAGTTTACAACCCTGCATTTTATGATTATGATGATTACCCTGATTTTATGATTATGATGATTACCCTGATTTTATGATTATGGTTTTACAGGAGTGGTTCAAATTTGTCTTTGACCCGCAATTTCTTTACTAATAAATCAAAAGAAGATTATATAAGTATTGCAAAGACTTTAAAGTGAAACGTGGTAATTATTTCTTATTAAACAAGCAGTAATGCGGGGAGTTGCTGTCACTGTTCAAAATGTTACAATAAGAGGAAAATGATGATTATCTATTCGTTATCTCGTGATTACTCGTAATGATCATATGTTCTAATCAGAAAATGCAGTCAAGACCAATTTCAGGTGAAAAATCCTCTTAAAAAGCAGACATTTATTAAAAACGAAACTTGTCTCAATTAATTTGAGTAGAACTATCGATGTAGAATACATAAAAAAAAAGTATTAGGAACATGTGCTGCAACTACTTTTCTAACTTTTTTTTTTCATCAAAAATAATCTTCTGTTTTGAAATCATTTGAAAATTATCCAATTTAATATTTTAAAATAAATGGAGTGTGTTATTTTTAATTTTTGTTCACAAACGTAATAATAAAATTATAAAGCATCCTTATTAAATGCATATTAAATTAGAAAGTATTAGAGGCATAAAGAAAGCATTGTGTGAAAAATGCAAGAAGTATTACTTACCTAAACTAAAACGGAGAAAACTTATGAAAAAAATGAACGTCAGCAGTGTGGACTTGAAAACCGTCAACAGCATTTTTAAACCTGGTAGTCATCACATTTTTGGAAAAGAAAGCAAACCTGTAAAAAAAAGTGGTTTTTTTTATCAAATATATTACTCAAAAATGAAATATATTACTTAATTAATTAATTAAAATTAACTATATTACTTAGAAATTTAGAAATTATATTACTGAAAAATTATTTGGTGAATGAAAAATTATGTCCCTGGCTTATATCAAAAATCTTATAAAATATTACTCATCCTTGGCTTAGGATTTATTATTATATTAGAAATATTGAAAAAAGTTCATTAAGATCCTGACTAACATCAACATACAGAGTTGGTAAAATTAAATTGTTTCCAAATTCAAAGGAAAGTTCATGGCTTTGTATGGTTTAGCAACAAAAATTTAGTAAAAATTCATTTCATTTAAACATTGCTCAAGATTTAATAAAAAAAATATATACTAAAATACTTCTACAGTATTAATTTATGACCGAAAATTCCAGAAACAGATTGATATTCAAATATATATATCGTAAATTTAGCGAATAAAATTGTGTTTTGGCGAATGATTTTTTTCAACTAGAAAGAAAAATATATATTTAATTCGATCCTCAAAATTATGTCAAAATGAATTTTTCTGAAGAAATCAGTATGTTTTTATTCGCGTTCATTAATTTTTGGCAGATGCGCTGCATGACCAATTAGAATTAGATCCAAATGATATAAGCGTGAAACAAGCTACAATAAATTAGTTTTCCCTGGGGAATAAATTTATCATATATATATAGGTATATATATCATATAANATCATATAATTTATCATATATATATATATATATATATATATATATTATTTGTGAGAAGGCGCCTTAAAACTTTAAGAAAACAGTCATAAGAATTTTTAAAGAGAGAACATATTCTTTTCAAAAGCCTTTATAATTATTGTCTTGTCATCGGCAATTTGACATTTTAGGCGCCGACCATTTCCGACAAGCTGTCAGATTCATCGAGACTTTATTTCACTGTCAAGATGAACTGAAGGGAGGAAAAAAGAGGAAAAAAAAGTTTTATTATTTCGTTAAAAGCTATTGCTTTACTTTGCAATAAGTTGCAAAAGTTAAATTTATGTAACTTCATAATCTCGGAGAAAATTGGACAATCACAAAAAAAGAAAGATGAAAAAGAGTAAAAAGAAAACAGGAGCTTAAATTTTAAAAATAGAATTGACTCTCAACATATGTTTAATTTGCGATGAATCAAATTGATTTACTTTCATATCCTTTGTTAATATAATGCATATATATTTTTACTATACATTGTTACACTGTTATTTTCACAGTTTATTTGTATTAGGCTCTAAATAAACCCATATGTGATACACATATTTCTCATAATAGATATGGTTGAGTAAAAAAAAATTGGTTCAGATGCACAGAGAAAAAAAGTTCTGGTAAAAATACCTTACAATATGACAATAACATTTCGAATTTCAAAAAAAGAAAGTAAAAACATAAATTTAGTTATCAAAACTAAATTTCTGGTAGTGTTGGTAGTCAATATAAATTTTACCATATTCTGAACATGCTGATGCCAAAATTTATATGTAAGATTAGTTCTTCAATGGGTGAAGTATTCACATTATAATATACTCATAAATTCATTTTTACCGGAAAAAAAGTCTTTTTTAGTTTGAATTTTTTATCTTTGATAAATATTTTGAATTGTTTAATTTATTTTATTTTAGTTTTAAATCCCATTAAAAATTATCAATTTGCATACTATTGCATGAACTGAAGTGTTATATTCACGCAATTGTAAAAAGCACAGTTAATTCAGCTCAGTTCACAATTTAGTAGCAGTTAAATTTTTTTTTTACAAAACACAATTGCAGTTAACATACAATTGCAGTTAATTTTAACAGATAACCTTTTTTTAGTTTCATTAAAATACAATAATTTTAAGCCTATACAGTTATTTAACAAATGCACGAATAAAACTTCGAAAATTAATCAAGAAATAAAGGTAAGATAACAGTAAAAAATCAGTTTATTAAATTTTAAAGGAAAATGTTTTTAGTTGAATATGTGGACTCCATTTGTTATTATATTCATCAGAGTACTTAATGTAAACTGAAAAAACACATGCTTGTTAGCATGTGCTAGAGAGAAAAAAATTAAGTTACCATTATGAAACTCATATATGTTCAGCTTTTTCATGCACTACGTTTTTGCAATTCAAGTTTAATTTTTAATAAAAAAAAACTGATTTTATTATTTACAGGTTTAATCAATCATGGTTTTATTAAATTGTTCGAATTCTTTTATTTTGTTTCAATTTTTATGCATTTTAATTTCCTTCTTTTGCTTTCAGCCAGACTTACCTAATTAAAAAACAGTAAAAAAGAATGATTAATTTGAATAATATTGATCTTAAGCAGGGAATTACATAATATAAATTCCAAACTCTTGAAGACTCCAATGGAGATGAGTAATAATACCTAAGTACTTGTCTTATCCGTAAAGGACATAGAGAGAGCGCCAAAAATTTAATTAAGATTAGGAATGCGAAAGGAATTTCCTGAATGCTTTATAGTAAAGCGCCCTCTTCATTTCTAGTTAAGTTATTTAAACGGTGAAGGTTTTGTTTTCAGGATATATAGGACGTTTCCATTTTAAGATTTATTGAAAAAAAATACTGATTTACGAAGTAACAAGCAAATTAATGTATAATAATGTTTAAAATATAATAAAAACTTGTCTTTAATTATTTAACAGCTTTATGCTTAGATTTTTCAAAATAACACATTTTTTAACAAAATGATTATTACTAAACTAATTTGTTGTTTTTAACTTTCAAAATAAAACATTAAAAAGTTACAGGGGAACCTTAATTAAAGTTATCACGATAGACATAGGGGTAAGGTTAATAAGATCAAATATGTTCGATTTCATAAACGTTCAAGGACCGTTTAAGAAACAAACGTTTCACAGTCTTTCAATTTCAGAAAAATATCCACGTCTACTACAAAACTGGTACTGAGTTTACTATTGAAAGAAATTATGGCGAGAAATGATGGTTTAAAAAGCCATCCTCTCTATCGTTTTCTTTCGTGAAATGTTTTACCGATTTCTTCACTTTTCAGCAAACGTATTTTAAGGATAATCACTTTTGAACCACTTCATGTAGGCCAGTGTTTCCCAAACTTATGACTTTTGTGTAGAATTCGAAATTTTTCGTAACGCTGTGTACCACTAATAAAAAAAAATGAATGCATATTTTATTATTAAAAAAATTGCACAAAAGTTAAAAATCACAACTGGCTGTTGACACTACTAATTATTAACTGTAAACTCTGAAAAAAACAACCAATAGAAAAATACGTAATTGTAAATTTTCATGGCTAGCTTCGTTTTTAAATTAAAATTTTTTGAAATTTTAGTTTGCTGCATGATATTTCTCGTAAGAACGCGTACCCCGCTAAACTTTTCCCGTACCCCTGGGGGTAAGCGTACCACACTTTGGGAAGCACTGATGTAGGCTATTATTTATTTATTTTCGGAAAGAATTCTAAAAACTCATAAACAAGACTGTGTTTAGAGAACACCATGAATATATTCTATTATATTTGAATTAACCTTTAAATTAAAATTTTTATACTTTATTGCGACGATTTCAATTTACTGTTTGTTTGGATAAGCACAACTGACCCGCATGAAGTTAATCTGTTTAAACTTGTTAAGATCACGCCAAATAATATTCTGGCTTTTGATTGGTTAAAAAGAGATGCAGTTGAAAGACGATAGGTTTACAAATAATCCGTTATTGTCTTCGAATAAATGATAAAAAAATGTCTTCCATTTTAGCATGCCTAACAGCAACATAACCTTACGCAAAAGGAACTTACGAAAATTGTTTCACTATTTGATTTTACTAAGTTTTTATAATATTGCAGTGCCAGCTGAAAACATTATTTGAATACGATTTGTAAGTTCCTAGTATTTGCTGATTAATTTATCTCCTTGTTCGTCACCTTTTGTTTCACTATTGTCCTCGAATAGTCGATCAAAAAAAGTATTCCACTTTAGCATGCCTAACAGCAAAAAGAATCTTATACAATTGGAACTTACGAACATTTTTTCACTATTTGATTTTACTAAGTTTTTATGATATGGCAGTGTCAACGGAAACCATTATTTAAATAATAATTGTAAATTCATAGTATTTGGTGATTAGTTTATTTCCTTGTTTCTTTGTCACCTTTTGTTTCGTCGTTAACAATGTTAAATTTCGCAATTTTATCTAACTTATCATTCAGAGATCGATAACTAAGTTAAACTACCGAGACATTTTATATACATTTTTAAAAAAATACAAGATACTTTATCATATGTTTCAAAAAGAAATCACGCCGTGTAATGTCAAACATTTCTACTTAAAATGACGTAGGCAAAATACACAACAAATTGATCGATCCTGATAACGGATCTAAAATTCATCTTTCATTCTGTCACATAGAATGAACTCAACCGATCGCAGTTTTAAGTAATTCATCACATTTGCGCGTGCCGTGAATGCAATGTGTGTGTGTGTTTGTGTAATATCACTCAAGGTTAAAGTAAGTGAAATATGAAAGCGCAGATCAGATTCAGAATGATTTATCATAGCTAGTAGAATTTTAAAAGGTCAGCAAAGGACTATAAACTACTTTATAGTCCAAATATGATTTTCAGTTTTATTACATAAAACATCCAAATGAATTAACCAGCGTTGAAGGCTTTTTGAATTATTTAGTTTTAAATTCTTTAAGCTGTACCTTTACTTGTTATGGTACTCTTTCTTTTCTGTAATTTATGAATAAGTGCAAAACGAGTTTTTGGGATTAAGCTGGCTTTGCCATTGCTTGCAAATGGCTTAGCTGATATTAGATTTAAATGTACAAAGCGATTTTTTATGGTTAAATTGGTTTTGCCACTGCTTTCCATGTTAGTACATATTAGATTTAAAAGTGTAAAGCAATTTTTTACGGTTAAGTTGGTTTTGTAATTGCTGGCCATGTTAGCACACATTATAT